CCCACCATGACAAGGGGCCTCGGCTTTTAGGGTCTCATTCGAAAGACCCGCAACTTGTACATGTACTTGAAAGGAACAGTTGCTACCAATTATTTAAGACTTAGGTCAGTCGCTGCCATGATTCGAACACACGACCTTCCGATCACGGAGCGAGCGCTCTACCGACTGAGCTACCGTGACAGTAGGATACTACAGGAATGTTCACTGAAAAATTGCAAATATTTCAAAATTCGATCCAAATCTTGTCTCTTTGGAGATCTCCTACGTACCGTTCTGGACAAGACCCAATAGTTCAACATTGGGATCATCGTCCTCTGCATGGGGTATCGTTTTTATCCAAATAAATTATTTAACAGATTAAAAGTCTTAATTCTTGAGAACTCTTTAAAACTTCATTCATAGGTTTCTTTTCAATTATGACATGGGTAGTATGTTTTCAATATTTCTTTTTAAGTATATACACAGATTTTTTTCTTATGCAATTCCACGCTATGCAATGAAAAGAGAACGTATTAAAATTTTGCCTCTTTTAAAAAAATATTTTCTTTAAAGTAATAATGTAAATTATCACTAAGACGTAGTGATACTAATGGTCTAAAAAAGTGTCACACCTAGTTACTGTGTTTCTATTATTACACACTTGAGTGATCATTCATTAGGCCGTGTCGTATTTATTGCACTACTTCAGTGAAGATGGTCATTCATGATCGTAACGTTCTGCAGGGTTCTTTAGAAGCTTTAACAACCCTATGCAATTTTATTCTAAACTACTAGATAGACAACAGTAAAGTATCTACAGGAAAATTCAATCGAATACCATCATCGTAATGTTTTGTCGGATAATTTTCATATTTATAGTTAGATTTTTGGAGACTGATGCACGCCATGCCCCACAGGTAAGGACAGCGTTTACATATTTCATTATTTAATCTAATTTCTAATCATATATTATTTAAGTTTTGGTAAATTATTATTACACTTTTGTAAAATTGTAATCATATTGTCGTATAGTAGTTCGACAATAGGACAGAATACACGTACCAAATTCATTCTTGAAATTTGGTTACACATCAATAAGATTTTTTGTTAATACTTCATAATTTCGCCGTGTGAGGGTTGAAATTATCAAACAAATCAACATTTTTACTGGAAATAAGGGTTAAAGGTTGAATAAAGTGGTTTTCTATATGTGTGGAATAAAGCATGATAAATTGTCTGTTCATTAATATTTTACTTGTAACTTCATGATAAATTTGTGCTTCATTGATTAAAATCCCACTGTTTTGCAGGTTAGTAACTTCTTTTTTTTTCAAAGTGTTGTCCTATTGAATCTCTTTAAACAAACTGTAAATGTTTTTTTTTCTTTTTAAAACTAATAAGGATTAAATTAAAAAAGAATACATGTACATGTAAATGCAAACTCACTTCCGCTATATCATGTAATAGCAATATACCAAAGGTTGCGGTTTCCCTCAGTCATTAAATTGCCGATTATGCGCAATGGGTCAATAATGCACGTGCTGGAAGCATAAATCTGATGTGACGGATTAACGGTAGCAAGATAATCATTCTCTTGGTCTGTCACACGAAATACGAGTGTTAATATTGATCTTTATGAATGGAAATCACTAATCGCAAAATTATTAACTTATATCATAGGACGTTGTTTACATGAATATCGAAACAAACATTTGACAAGAAGACAATTTCGTTCATTAGTGTTCGTAAATCAAGGCAAAAATGATTCCTGGCAAATGATTAAAACGGATTTTCCTAACTATAAGTCGAGTTTGTTACAGAATGCATGTATGAATACTGATTCGGCAACTGTTGCACAAATAAATGTCTTCCCTGAAATTTTTTCGAATAACGTTAACATCCTTGCGTTTTATCAAAGGACTTGGTATCCAAGTTATACCAAGTGTTTCAACATTTCACATTCAAGCAATATATATAAAGTCGATATCAAATCAATCGCCCTTTAATTAACTGCTAACAATTCATAATTCATTATTATCTGTTTTGGAAGACTTCGATCGTACAACTCCACAAAAGCCATGAAATTCCTCATTTTGCTGTTTTTATGCATTTTTCAAATGCAAGAGTAAAGTTGATAACCCGAAGGACAAGCAGGTTTAATGTCATTTTAAGTACGATGGTCCTAGATCCACCTCCATCCACATAAATTTTAGGCATTGTTTACATTCGTCCAACGACGAGATTCTTCCGATAACCCATCAAAATCCATATTAACTGCATCCAAGTCATAAAGGAAGCTATAAAAGTCGACATATTTTTGACACCTCCTGGTATCCGAACGCCTACACTCACGAGATTTCCTCTTTATCAAAAAGTGACAGTCTCAGCTACGCGAGATTTCCTCTAAAGTTACATGTATCAATGTTGACAATGAAAGAGTGACATTTTCATCCACGCGAGATTTCCTACTTAAAGTTAACGTTCTCTCATACAATGATATTTGATAGCAAAAAAGCACTTTTCTTCTTTAAAACAGCAACTATTCAAATATTTTTGTATCCACTCTGAGCATAGTCAGTCTATGCAAGATATTTTTTTTTAATCAAATCTCCCTATAATTATGACGCCTTAGGAAATTAACATATGCGACTTTTATGATTGGATGTTGTCCTCTTTAGATGGCTGCAATCGCTTTTTCTAATATTTTCTTTCGATTTTTTTGTTTTTTGATATTTTTAATACATTTCTTATAAACGATACTTAAGATATTCGAAAATGACAGCCGCTTTACTTATTTTTTAAATTTTTTTGTTACGCTTTAATTTGTTCTGTGTGAAAGATAATTATTACAAAGTTAATACATGTAACAATTCTACCCTGGGCCATGCACAGTATCTGCTACATTTGAAGACGTCGACATTTATTAGAAATTAAATTCAATCTAATCTGATTGGATTTTCTAATTATTGTTTTGTATACAATATATATTTCTATGTATATATTTCTATGTGTGACTTAAAAAGAATTTTGGTTGAAATAAACACATCCATAAACATATTTTTGAATTTACTAACAAACGTTCATCATTGATAGCAAAATTATTTTTTGATTAAGAACAACCACTAGGGCATATTGTTATACCTAGGCTTCTAAGGAAAAAGACAAAATTAGATCTCATTTAAGCCCGGGGCTCTTTGTTTACTTACAGAAGTAAAGTTGTTGCATGTGTCTTAATATAGAGTACATAAAGAGGTTAGACACATAGTAACATTTATTGTCATTACAAGCTGTATGGTGACATATTAATGATCTTTTATGTTATTCCCCAGTAAAATACAACTCAGTTTCTACATTCCTCGTGAAATACATCAACACTAAAAGCCAGCACGCTAATTAGATGGAGAAAAACATATTACTGTATATAGGGACATTTTCACACCCGTTTTATTTTTGCCCTTTCGCCTTCGATGCAAGTGGGTGAATTTAAAACGAGCCAAATTAAAACAAAAAAAGAAGATATGACTATTTATTAAATACAACTGTGCCTGGGCGAATTTAAAACAGTGCTAAATTTTAATATTAGTATTAAAGACAAGTAACTTATGCAAATCGTATGTAAGGGTCGTATATTGAGTAAATCACCGTTTCTGCCTAAAATAAATACAGTACAACATTACCCCTAATCTGTTCCAATTTTGAATTCAGTACTATAACAATGTTATTTGCAAGCGCTCTCGGGCACTAGCAACTACGTTCTTGAAGATTTTTTTTTTTACTGGAATACTGTTACACGTGGTCGAAATCACGGTAGGTCACTGAGGTAAAAGATACTATGGATGGTACTATTGTCATCTGAAAATGCAATTTTATGTATCACCCAAAAAGTGATGTCATTGCTGACGTACAGCTCACTCGAGTTCGACCCTTTTGAGTTCGACCCTTTTAACCCATTCCTCTCCCCATCCTCCGCGCAGCACTGTATTCCAATTAATAATAATTCATACATTCAGCAAAATAAACCAATGGTTCAGAAATCAACTTCTGTGTTTTATAATGGCTACAGCACTACTTCACTCATCTTACTAAAAGCTTTTTATTCGAAATACAATGTTAAAGTTACTTTCATTTTATCAAATGAAATGAAATCTACATTCATTTCTTCCTAAAGACAGGCATGGGAAACACTTTCGTTTTCTCAATAGGTGTTCTGTCTCATTATAAAAGCTGACCACCTTATGGTGCTTTAATTTGCGGTTACTTCGCGAAAACTAACCGAGATACGGTCACTGACTCATTATATATCACTGCGCATGCCCAAAAGTTTCATTCAGGTCAAATAATTATCTTTCGAGATGTCTATACATCATTATCCTTTTGTTTCTTATTTTTGCTGTAAACTTGGACATTTTTTGTCTTATGTAAATAATTCTAATCATATAAAAAATGCGACTGTCAAACAATACGTCTGGATTATTTTTATACCAGATTTGACATGTTTGTCATAATTTGACAGACAAACAAACAAGATGAGACATAAAATACATTTATCTATCAAAGAATAACACACGAATTATGTTCTAATATTAGAAAGTCGCTTTTATTTTCGTATTCGACTAATGAGAACAGCCATAAGTTATCAAATTTTATAGACAATATAACATATTTATGTTTTGTTGTAAGAAAAAAAAAAGATTAGTAATGTCTCTTCCAAACTGGAGATATCGTTTTTTTTTCTGAAATAGTCTAACGACCATATACATATAACTTTTCAATCATAATGATAAATAACCACTCACATTTTTCAATCATAGGCATTTTTTATGAAACAGTCATTAGCTCTTAGTTACAAGTAAACAACGTTATTTAATCAACATTGTAATGAAATCAAAACTTAAATTTCTGAATTTCAATCATAATCTTTAATACTAATAATTAGTATATCAAAAGGAGAAAGTTACTGATTTTAGCTTCCACCGAATTATTGATGATCCTTGATTAATTAATGTTCTTTTTTTCTACAGGCAATGCACACATCTAGCAACAATGGACACCACACTAAGGAACCCCCACTTTTTCCCGTCATTCATATGGATATAAATAGCCTAAAGAGACTTCCAGCTTTCGATGAACCAATCAATCAAGTTCAAAAAAGGATACACGAACACCAAAACACCCAGCAGAGGCAGACTCAAGGAAATCTTCGAGGTGTCCCTCATCACATCCCGTCTCCCCAAGGATCTCCATCCCGCGGAAATCCCCCACAGAATATCCAGAGGTCTGCTTCCTTTATTCAAAATAAAAACATTCAAATTCAGCAAAATACTGCTCTGCATCAAATGGTACAACCTGCTTCAAATCACATTCCTCTGGCTGTAAATATTCGGCCACCTGCAGTAATGAACTCTGCTTCGCACTTCATGCCCCATAATCCAGTAGTGAAGACACAAAGTGGCCCTGCCATCTTGCAGCAGGTCAATAATAGAGTACCAATGATAAGTCATCAAGTAACTCGTGTTCCACTGGCCAATAAACAACCTGCATTTCATCCTCCTATGGTCATGACCCCTGCAATGAGTGGAAAGAATCGAGTAAATCCAAGCATAATGATTCAAAACCCATCTCGTCCTCAAGCACAACCAATCCTTAACCAACCAATCAATATTCAATCAGTTCCTTTAAACATGAATCAAGTACCTTTGAACACGATACAAGGACAACTCCCAAACTTTCCTCTGATGGGAATTAATACAATTCAAAATCAACCCTTACTAATGCTCCAAAGACCAGTTATTGTGAATTCAGTGCCACAAAATGTTCAATTGATCCAGAGTCCTATTGCAAATGGTCAACCCCTTATGGGACCCGTTAACGTACAGGTTCCTACAATGCAAAACAAACCAATGTCTCTTCCTCAACTTGTTTTCACTAATGGAATCCTTAATCAAATAGTTCCTAAACAGAATCCTATTGCAGCTACACCGAAACCAAATACGTTATTTTCTCGTGCTCCGATTGTAGAGAAACCCAAACAGTCTGCCAGCATACAAACTCAAACCGGAAGCAGTAATACGGATCGCAAAATTCCGCAAGTTGTTGTTCATCAGTCAGGGAATAGTTTCAAGGCGCCTTCTATTTTGTTGAAAAATAACAAAGTCGAAAACTTAAACATCGCCAGCAAACATCCTGCCCAGGAAATTCAAGAGCCAAAGACAAAAACCTCAATCGACATAAAAAGCGCAATGAAACAGAATACTGCCTTAACAAGCGTAAACAAATCTTTAATGAAAATGGTTCTTGATAAACTTAAACATACTACAATGGACATGCTAAAAGGACGACTTAACAAAATGATTTCAGGAAACACACAGCCAAGTGGTCTCTCACTGAAAACAAATTCAATAGTAAACACGGCTTCAAGACTTTCTAATTCACCCTTACAATTAATGGGAAAAACACCTGGTAATCTAGGTGTTCTTAGTGGATTTCCTACTTCGCTGGATCCAAAACGAGTTTCAGTGTCATTTAATCCAGCTTCGAGTCAGAAGATCAATGCTCCCAAGGCTACAAATCCTCCAAGAACGATAGAGATTGTCCAACAGAACTTAAATCGAACCATGCCAAATAACATGACTCTAGAGCCTTTCACAGCAACGACGCACAAAAAGAATGGGAAGATGAGCATCCTGTTAACATCCAAACACACCGGAAGTCGACCAATCCTAATCGAGGCAGCTACAGGTAATATTCTTGTATCACACGTAAAAGGCCCGGATGGAAATGCACAGTTTGTCATTCAGCATGCACGTGAAGCAACGCCATCTAATGTTTCCACCGCTACTTCCTCCTCAACAACACCAGCTGTTACAGAAGAAGTCGAAGTCGAGGCTGAGGATATCATTACAACCTCTACTTCTACAACGTCATCTACTTCAACAGCAGTACCTACAACAGTGCTTACAGGATTCAACAGCGTCACTACAACCTCGATTCCTGTGGGGCGGTGACGTAACGGCGGGAAATTTGAATTGGTTGAAAATCCATAAGCATCGTTCCTGTCTCAAGAGATGACTTCGCTGTCAAGAGATGAGAAAAAGGAGTTGTACTAGGACAACCGCAAGAAATTGTCAATCCACAATCTCCTTTCATATAAACACCGGTGAAGACATTGTTCCGAAACACTTGTGCTTTCCAAGAAATCCGTATACATCTATCAGGGATGGAGCACGACGGGGTATTTATGAACAATGTAGTGGAAAATTCTCCAAAAGTGTTCTTTGCAAAATCCAGACATGTTTTGATAGTTCGGGTAAATATATACAGATGGTTTTAATTGTGTTTGTGAGAGTATAGATTTCAAGGACCCCATTGTTTAAAATATGTATTTTAAGACTTAATTTATGACAAATAGAGAAAGGTTGTGTGTATGATTGATTCATTACCATTCATCTGTAATTATAAACCATCCTCTTTGTTGCATGTTGATATATTCATTATCATACAGATCATTACATTCCACGACAAAATCAAGTAACTAGAAAAATCACTATCAGTGTTAATTGTTTTTATCGATAGGTCCTTTTTAATATTCTTACTATAAATGAAAATACAAAGGTAAAATGAAGCTGTAAATTATTTCTTGTGAAGAAGAGATCCTTAGTCATACATAAAGGTTGTACAGTCTTGATAGAATGATAAGGAGATTTGATGATGACTCATGTAAGATCTGACAGACAACCCTGTGTCTGATTATTTCAGTGGCTCCTTATCATCTACGCTTCCTTATGACCTCCTATTCCAATCCGGGATTTTTTATGATGTGTCAATACTTTCGGTTTTAGTTCTTTTTATTGGGAACTGTCAGTGCTAAGCGAGTTTGGTTCTGTGTTTTATTACCTAATCTCGCGAGGCAGATGTCAATAGAAAACAAGCGCACGCTTCCAACAAGACGAGATCACTTTTCGCTGACATGTCCGTAATTTGATGGGAGAACTATAATCTACAGAAATACGTGTAAAATAATCTTAATGAAGAGCTTTGTTATACTTATTTCACTTTATACAATTGTAGGTATGTGGCGTGCACGGCATAGTGCAGGTTTCATCCAACTTTAATTGATAATTGTTTGCAATTTAGAAAAAAAAAATATGTACATGTATGTTAATTATTGTCTCAGTATGTAGAACTAGATAACCACTATTTAAACACGCTTTACAACTTTACTGTTTTATGAACATCGAAATGTTAATCAAGATATTGCAAGCATTAAAATTAATACCTATTTTGCAATGCTATGAAAAAAATACAAACTGTAGGTATTTAACTGTTTGTTATATGAATTGTTATATGTTCTATTTCAAAATAGAAAATTTGGCATTGTTTTCCGATTTGCTCGGTTACTCTATAACAGAAGGGTATATGGATCACCGTCCAGGAATATAGAGAATTCAGTAGAAATCAAGTCCATGATGTGTGTTTAGTTGTGATATAGATGACCTATGTTAAGTGAATATTGTGCTGCTACGTAGCACCACTTTTGTTTACTTGTTTATAATTATTTGTTTACTTGTTTATAATTGTTTGTTGATGTTTCATACAAACTACAAATGATGTTTCATATTTATGAAATAAATATATCAATTTTTTGCTATTCTTTGATTGTGTTTTTTGTACAAACCAAAGGTTTGAAAAGGCAAATATTCTGTATATACCCAAATATATGCTCTCCTTTGATTATGGGTAATCAGATAAACTTATGTTTTAAAGGGACATAGACACAGACTTGAAGTTAATATTTTCTCACATTTTCTGTATATAATTTCTGTTCAGTGATGTGTGGAGATTTTAACAAATTGAACACACCCGAAGGAGCGTGAACTGTTTTGTAAATGTTATTGTTAATGTTTACGTTTCACCAGTGTGTTCAATTTGTTAAACTCTGCACACATCGCTGAGCACGGACTGACAATACAGGTGAATTGGTTTTGTTTTTTCACACTTCTGCTCTGAATTTTCTGGATTATATCTAAAAACGTTTTCAATAATACACAACAAAATTTCCACTTTTAAGTATTAAGGATAAAGTTTACTTTGTGAAAGTGCAAGGATGTGTCAATCAAACGCGTCCCGAAATTCGTAGTTTCAATAATTTCAAGATAAAATAAGTTTTTTTTATTATTATATTTCTGTGTGAAATGCTACAGCAACATATAAGTCATAATATTATACAGAAAATTTGAAAAAATATTAACTTCAAATCTGCGTCTATGTCCCTTTAAGAATAAATAGGTCATATATTTATTTTATTTACTTTGAAGAAAAACACATAGTCTATAGTCATGCATTGTAAACAATTTCAAAGATAGTGTAATATCAGCTTGGTGGATATTTAAGAAATAAGGTATCATTTTTAAACATCTATCGGGATATAAATACGGGTTGGTCACGAGATCAAATTCCATAAAGCCCGAAGGGCTTTATGGTAAATTTGATCCCGTACCAACCCGTATTTATATCCCGATAGATGTTTTAAAATGATACCTTATTACTTATATTTACATTTGTGACTTCTTCATATTATATATTAGCCTGATTATAACTTTAACGCGTGAAATGTTTTATTTTTTCAAACTCAACGGCACGAGTTTGATCTATTGATTGCGCGTCAATCCTTTATGACGTCACTGAGAAATTACGTCGAACGTTTATGACGCGAGGAACCTGTGTTTATACGGATATAGATACGCGTTGCTTTTAATAGTGATATATAAAAGAAAACATTTGCAAATGTAAATATTTGAACTTAAACGCCTTCATCGAATCTCCAAAGATTCCTATGTAATTCATGTCTGGAAATTCACACAATTTCGGCTGGTTATAATTTCCATTGTGTACATGAACCTATAAATGACACTGCTCTCGCCTCAAATAAATAATAAAATAAAGTTTATCTTATTTGTACTACGAATAATACTGCATTGCTTAATTTTTACATGTTGGTATGTAACTCCTGAATTTAAAAAAAAAAATAAAAAAAAAATTTTCTGTCCAATTAAAGATCTTATGACGATTTCTTTTTAATCTCGTGCTGAGTGCACATAGCATATATAACACATTATGTTATATGAGCTTTATTAGAGAATTACCTGGAAAACAGACTACAGCAACTATAAATACTAAGACATTAAGAAATAAGTCATTGGAGTTATCATTTGGAGAGAAAATTAAGTGTTTGGTTTGAAATGATCAGAGTTTAGCAGTGTCACCTAGGTGCACAAAAAATTATATCCGGCAAAATGAGTTTAAATTTCAAAACATGAATTTTGAAGGACTATCCCGAAATTGGATGAAGATGTGAATTCATATATCCAGCCAAGCCGAATCTTATTATCCATAATATATCTAATAAATATTTGACAAGCCTCAAGGAGGACATCAAATGTTTTTTTTCTTTTTCCAGGATTTGTGAAGTGAGCACTTTGAAAAAAAAAGAAATTTTGTTAAATATGTTGTTCATTTCGTGGATAAGGGAAAAAATCAATAATACTACTCGAAACATAAGCATAATCTCAACTTAGTTTATAATAACCCTACCGCCCTTTAACTATGTATGACATATCTTACCTTGTTGAATATGCTAATGCTTTTTTTCATGCGTTACTCATTATACGTATTAGTAAGCCAGGGCTGTACACATCTATATAAATATGATAATAACCGTTACATTGTAATAAACAACATAACAAGGTTGCATATAAAAAATCATATTTACATATCTGTCAGAAAAAACGACTGTTGAATAGTCATAACTCATACACGCACACGACAAGCCTTTTCCCATGGATCAATGTATAGGGACTAACTGATAAAACAAAAGAAGAAATGTACACCAAAACAAAATACATTTAAGTCAGCTAAAACAATACTCTGTATTATCATGTAAAGAGGATTAAGGCCCTATTATTCTAAAATATGAAATAAATTCCATAGATATCTTTAAAGATAAGTGTGACATAGATTTGACTTTTAAAAAAGACAATCAACAAGAAGATTTTTGAGAAAAAAGAACAAAAGATTATGTTTGCCCCTACTAAGTCATATTCAAAACGAATGCCTTGCTCTGTGTTGCACCATTATGCAGTTAATTCAGAACAATATACTAGTAATCAAGCCAGGGGAAATACAAACAAATTAATGATTAATATTCCAAAAGGGGAAAATACAAATTAAAAATTAAAATTCTTAAAGCGAAAAATACAAACAAATTACTAATCAAAATTCCAAAAGAGGAAAATACAAGCAAATTAATAATCAAAATTCCAAAGGGGGACACTACAAACAAATTAATTATCAAAATTCCAAAATTGTAGGGTTTTTAAGTTTCTGAAATTGTTTTTATTGTCCATAAAAGAAAATTGGAGAGATTTTCTTCTTAAACCATAAAAAAAAGTAGAATCGTGGGACTTCAAAAAAAAAAATAAAATAAAATAAAAAAGAAATAAAATAAAATAAAAATTTTTAAAAAATAATAAAATGATAGTATCTCTTATAAAGGAGTTTAATACAAAAGATTTTATTTGTTGTTGACAATTTAATTTTTGATATAGATTTCTCATCAAGTAAGGATATGATTGCCAAGGAAAGAAAGATGCAAATTTTGTGGCAAAACTGTTCGGATAGCGCTTCTGGTTTTTTTCTTCAATTTTTAAGAAGACAAATAATAATCACTAAAATATTACGCTTGTGCATTGTCTGAATCAATTTTTAAAAAAGACTGCAATTATTACAGAAAGTATACACCCTTCAGTTAAGCTCACTTAGTATCCATGCCATGTGTCAACTGTTCCACGTGCTGTAAATATATATGCCTATAGATACTTATTAATGCTGTCCTCCGCACACTTCATTTTTCGACACCTATCAAATAATAATGTCTGCAAAAAAAGAGCGCCTATTCAAATTCCCAGACCGTTGTGTCAGTTTACACGCCTCTGATCAACACGTGTAC